CAGAACATAACTACCCTGTAGGGTTTCTAAGGCTGTGATTGTCATGGAACAGATCTTTAGGTCTGTCTGTGTCAGAATAGTTTGTAGATTTGAAACTCTGCTCTTTGGATAGCAGCTGGATGCTTAACTGTTGCACCCCCAGGACTCCTTAGGTACTCTGTAGGTCATAAGAGCTACATCACTTCACTTCACTCATTATCCTTGAGTTGGAACTAACCCACAGCTGACCCTCCAGCAGGTTTTCAGAGGCAGTAAATCACACAGGAGGAAACTGCCCATCTTTCTCCCATGGAGAAGCTGGAGGTTTTGAACCTGATAAGAAGCATCACAGCTTCTGAGAACTGGGCCACCAGAGCTCCCTAAGGTTTATTAAACCTTGAAAACATGTTAAGTGGAATTAGTCATTTATAAAAGGACAAATAGTTCACTTAAGTATCAACATAGAAAACAGTGATTGTTAGCAGTTACCAGAAATGAGAATGAGGAAGAAAGGGGGAGTATTTGTCTAGGGGATACTGAGTTTATGTTAATAGTGATTAATATAATGGTAAAAACTCCCAGAGTTTCCAAAGGCTATAAATCACGTGGGAAGAGACAGCCTGTCTTTCTCCCTTGTAGCAGCTGGTGGATTTGAATTGTATTTTTGATGGCAACACAAGTCCTTACCTCCTTTATATGCTTTATAGGATTGTTTGTTTTTTTAATAATTAAATCAGATGTAATACATTTGTGGATTTGATGTAATTTTTTTTTTATTTAGGTGGCGAAACTAGGGCACATATAATTAATTTGCTCGGTTCATATCATTAGTGCATAATGGACTTCCATCTTAAAGTATGTCTTTGGTTTCAAAGTTTCAAAAGTATTCAGCTGTCATGAATTATGTGGGAGTTTTGAGGGTAGAACTATACATACCAAAACATTAGCCAGTTTACTTGTTCCTGCCTGTAAAATTCAGTGATACTGATGACGTTCTTTATGTTGTGCAATCACAATCACTGTCCTTTTCTGAGTCACCTCATCACCATGAATATAAACTCAGTGTCCCCCAGACAGATACTCCCCCTTTCTTCCTTACCCTCATTTCTGGTAACCGCTAACAATCACTGTTTTCTGTGTTGATGCGTAAGTAAACCCAGACAGTATTTGTTCTTTTGCAACTGACTAATTCCACTCAACATGTTCTTGAGGTTTCATTTCACAGAACTTCATTTTTCTTTAAGGTCAGTGTTTGTGTGCATCACACTTTGTATTCATTCATTTGGTGGTGGATATTTTGGTTGATTCTCTCTTTTGAATATTGTAGAAAGTACTGCACAAACATTGGTTTTCAGGCTTTTGTTTGCAATTTTATCTTTTTTTCTTCTAGGTGTATAAATTAGATTGGGAGGGGTCATCCGATAGTTTTACTTTCACCTATTTTAAAGAACTAATTAATTGTTTTCTTTCGTTTTCTATTAATGGTTTGTAGAAATGTCAGTTTTCCATTCAGCAATCTGTATACATTATGATTTACGATCTCAGTTGGGTTTTTGCAGTGCAGTAGCATACCCACTCCCATCCACTCTGTCCCTGGGTTTCCCTTTTCCATTCACCTTTCTTTCCTAACACTTCTGTCTTCTGAACTTCGTCCTTGGACAAATGCAGCCCTTTTGATCCACGTTGTTATTGTCCTAAGGAGCGGTGCCTCACTGGCAATACTGTTATAGACTTGTCTTTGATGGAAAACTGAGTTCCGTTGCAGGTTTATAGTGACTCAGGTCTGTACTCTTAGACGGTCCATCAGTCCCTATCTTTCTGACCAGTATATTGTTGTTATGTACTTTCGAGTTGGAACTAACTCATAGCTGACCCTCCAATGTGTTTTCAGAGGCTGTAAATCACAGAGGAGGAGATGGCCCATCTTCTTCCTGTGGAGCAGAATTACAACTGTCTGCCTTTAGGTTGGCTACGCAACTCCTTACTGCTAACGAGGCCACCAGAGTTTCCATCTGACCACTCAGCCTGATCAATACTAATATTGAGCTTTGCTCTACTTTTGTCTCCTATCCAGGACCTTCAATGCAATCCCTTTTGAAGCAGTTGGTTGTGGTGGCTCAGTATCATCTGGTACTTTTAGTTTCAAGGTCTTAGATGCTGAGATTCACATGGCCCATTAGTTTTGGGAACCTCCAAATAGGGAGAGACCAGTCTTTGCACCATGCATGGCCTCTTAGAAGAGTTAAAGACTCCAAACACTATTCACCTAGGTAGAATATACAAGATTGTTGTTGTGCCAGTTAATTCCATGTCTTCAAAGGCTATGATCCTCAATCCCAGGCCAAGTGACTCATTCTCTCAAGGTGTTTGGTTATGACTAAGAGGTTTTGTAATGCTTCCCTTTAAATGCTCTGCTGGCTTATTTGTAGCATATGTGTCTTATTTATCTCATGCTACTATAACAGTAATGCTCCAAGTGGATAACTTTCATTAAACAGAAATATTTTCTCCTAGCTGTTGTTATTGTTAGATGCCATCAAGTCTAGTATGACTCATAGTGACTCTATGAACAAAACATATGAACCCTCTTCTCGCCTGGGCCATCCTCACTCTTGCTGACACACAAGAGCCCAGCGCAACAGTCACTGTGTCAGTCCACCTAGTTGAGGGTCTTGCTCTCCTTCGCCGACCCTCCGCCTTTCCCAACATCATGTCTCTCTTCAAGGTATAGCAACATGCCCAAAGTATGTGAGGCAAAGCCTCATCATTCCTGTCTCCAAAGAGCCTTTCCTTAGAGATGATAATTGTTGACTGGAATGCAAAAGTGGGAAACAGTGAAGAAGGAATAGTAGTTAGAAAATGTAGGTTTGGTGTAGAAGTGAGAATGGAAAAAAAATGATTGTATTTTACAATGATTTATTCATTGCAAATACCTTTTTCAAAAGACGCAACAACTTCACACATGAATCTCACCTGATGGTCTGCATAGGAATCAGATTGACTATATTTGTGGAAGACATTGTTGGAGAAGCTCAGTATCGGCACTCAAAATTAGTCCAGGGGTGGAGTGTGTGTCAGACTATTAATTACTCATATGCAGGTTCAAATTGAGGCTGAAGAACAATAAAGTTAAGTCCACAGGAAACGAGTTATGATCTTGAATCTATTCCATTGAACTTTCAAGATCATCTTAGGAATAAGTTTGAGACATTGAACACTAACAGTTGAAGACCAGATGAAATATGGGACATCAAGGATATCGTCCATGGAGAAAGCAAAAGATCTCCTTGCTTAGGAGACTGGAAATCTGAATTTAGTGTCCTGACTGACTCTGGGGCTCTTCTTGGGAGGAAGGTGCTTGTTTCCTTTCAGCATCTTTGGGCCCAGCATTCCCTGGAGATCTCCACATGCCTTGGCCCATCCCTGTGTCGAGGAGAATACCTCCCCAGGAACCTGGGCCCAGAGGGCACACTCCATTCCCGGCCCACTTGGTGGTACTAGATCCTTATTCACTGCTCACGTCTCTCTTCTGTTATCTAGTAAGATAAAATGGTGTTCTAGACCTACCTGAGAGAGATAGCCTTTAAATGAGATCAAGGCTGTGACATGATTTAAGAGTATAGCATCCCAAACTTCATCCTTTTACAGCTGATTGGTTTATCACATCAGACCCCATTATGTGCAGTCTTTGCATAACTAACACATTACTTCACTGCCAAACCACTGAGAATCAAAGAACCAGATGGTGCAGAGCTCAGCTAAGCTGACACATACTGGGGGGAGGAAACAATCGTTCAATCTATGATAATGTGTAAATACATATATGTGTAGAAGGGTCCCTGTCAAATCTGTGTATATATATTCATGGATATCACCCCATTCTTCTTCCCATACCTATCCACTTGTAGGTTATTGTTGTTGCAGGCTTGTGTATATAATAGTGTTCACCTCTGTTGACTTTTACTCTTGTACTCCTCCTTCCCGTGGCTTCTGTTGCCTTAATGATTTGCTAATGGGAGTGAGGTGATCTCACTTTGTGGTTTTGATTTGCATTTCCCTAATGGCTAATGACTTGAGCATCTTTTCATGTGCTTGTTGACTATTTGAATATATTCTGGTGAACTGTCTGTTCAAAGCCTTTGCCAATCTTTTTTATTGGATTGTCTTTTTATTGATAAGTTGCAGAAGTTTCTGTACAAAAGTATATAGGTATATGTGTATATACTATATATGTACATATATACATGTAGCATGTATCTACATATGTATATATAGGAAGATATCATATATTAAGTAAATGTCTGCATTTTAAAACACACACACACACACACACACACATATATATATATATATTTATATATATATATATATATATATATACACACAGATACTAGACCCTTATCCAGATAGATATTTCCCAAATACCGTGTTGCTAAAGTCCTTTGGATGAACCAAAGCACCAAAGCATTTCATTTTTATGAGGTCTCATTTGCCTGTTTATCTTTTGGTGCTTGTACATTTGTTATCATGTGTCATTAAATTTTAATACCATCATGACAGTTTCTAGAGGACAGTCCCAGAGCAAGGCTTTAGAGTAAATGCCTTTTGGAATTGAAAGTCAACATTAATATGATCTACTTTGTTAGGAAAAATCAGGTCTTCTCAGTACTTTGCGTCTTCTTGGTAGTAAGAGTCCTGTAATAGCAGAGCTGTGAGGTGCAGTGCCAAACAGATTGGGCTCCCAACTGTAAAGCTGGCAGTTGGAATCCACCAGCCATTCCTTGGGAGAAAGATCCCAGGCAGTTCTACTATATAGATTCACAGCCTTAGAAACCCAGGGAGGGGTCACTGTGACTTGGAATCGACACATTGGCAGTGGGTGTTTCGTCTGTTTGTTTTTGGATAGTGTAATAGTTGGGTATATACTGTGGCACAGGCAGGTGTATATTTAGTGATGTATCATTGCTTTTTGGTTTTGTATATTACCTTAATCATGTCATTTTGCTTCTCCTTCTCCTCAGACCAGTATTAAAGAAGGACAACTATTGAAGCAAACCAGTTCTTTCCAAAGGTGGAAAAAACGATACTTCAAACTTCGAGGCCGTACCCTTTATTATGCAAAGAACTCAAAGGTAACTAGAAGAAATATTATTTGCACATACTTGCAGTTGTGGATGGATTTAAGATTTTGGTCCTAGAATCTGTTTTTTCTTGGGGGCTGACTCTTCTATTACTACTCTTCTATCGGAGTGAGAATAAATGTGATCCTTCTTGCACCCTCCTCCTATCCCATGGGCTGCTTGCTGTTTGAGTCTGTCCTATGACTGGTCCTCGAGGGAAAGTGTGACAGCAAGGTTCTTGTGTAGTTTCCTTTCTTGCTTTTCAGTTAAACACTTCATTTAACTTTTATTGTTGTTATTGGATGCCATCAAGTGGGAACCGACTCATAGCTGCCCCTCCAGTGGGTTTTCAGAGGCAGTAAATGGCACTAGAGGAGATTGGCTCTCCGTCTCCTGCTTGGCAGCTGCGAGATTTGAACCTTGTGCTTTTGAGATTGCAGCACAGCTTCTTACCACTTGGCCATAAAAGCTCACTTATATTATTAGATATGTTGTTATTGTTGTTGTGTGCCACGGACGTGGAGCTGATTCATAGGTGACCTCCCAGCAGGCTTCGAGAAGATGTTAATCACATAGGAGGAGGTTGCCCATCTTTCTCCTTTGAAGCAGCTGGTGAATTTGAGTGGCCTGCCTTGGAGTTGACAGCGCAGCTACTTAACAGTAGGGCACCAGAGTGCCCTTTTTAGTAGCTAGAGTAAATCTCACATTTTGTTATAACTCATAAGATAAATAGTTTTCTCCTAGAGAAGTCAACTATGACTTCTGTTGCATTTTTTCACATACCTTCTCTTCCACTTTTCTATCTCTACCTCTTGTTAAAAGTACTGGGACCTGTTTCATCTCTTGTGCTGGTGTGTAAGTTCTTTTAAGCCAGGGAACAAGTCTTATCATCAAAGTGGGTGACATTGACTTGGATAATTCTGCAGGATCTGGTGGGTGGTGGAAGATATGAGGCGGGGGAGACTTGTCCCAGCCTTTCTGGTGCACTGTGTGCCAGTCAGCCCTGCCGGAAGAACCCTGGATGAGGGAGGGGTGATTTACTGACTATGAGTGAAATAGATACATTAATGGACTCCAATTTCTTGATCTCTACTTTTTAGATTTGAAACAAATTCCTTCTAGAGTTTTATCTCTGAAATTTTTGTTGTTGAGTCAGCTTTTAAGTTATATTTCCAGAGAAAAATGCCTTTTATTCGAACAAGTAATTATAGGTGAGAAAAATTAAGTTCAAAATGGCTTGCCCTGTTATTCTGAGCCCAGATTGGTTCTTCTCATGTCTCAGTTAGCAAACTTCCCCTGAGCAATGGTGTTGCCTCTGCCTCCGCCTCCCGGGCTGAGTTGTTACAGGTTTTGATGATTTATTAGGTGTGTACATCAGATACTGGAATGACTCCTCATATTATGGGTCCAAACAGTCCCTCTAGTGCAGTGGTAAAATGCTTGGTTACTAACCAGAAGATCAGCAGTTTGAACCCACACTTACTCTGTGGGAGAAAGATGTGGCAGCCTGCCACTGTGAAGATTGTTATTGTTGTTGTTGGGTACCATTGAGTTGAAACTGTCCCATACTGACCCTTGACAGATTTTGAGGCAGTTAATCACAGGAGGCGATTGCCCATCCTCCTCCTGTTGAAGAGTTGGTGGACTAGAACTGTGTGCCTTTGGGGTTGCATTACAGTTTCTTACCACTAGGCCACCAGAGCTCCCTTGTAAATCCACTGGAGCATTCTCTGTCCTGTAGGGTCACTGTGCATCAGAATTGACTGGATGGTTATAAGCTGTTATTTGTCCAGAGAGCAAAGAACACTCGCACTGACAGAGTGCTAGTGGAGTCTTAGATTTCCTTTCTATTTGGGGCTAACAGTTAACTGTATGCCTGCTGCTTCTTTGAAGAACTTTGAAAATGCCACTAAATTTACTTTTTCTTCCTTTTTCTATCCATGACTTCTGAAACACATTCATAGTCATGACCTAGTAGTAAAAAGGGGAAAAAATTGTTAAAGAACATTTACTTGTGTTTTTGTCTAATCTGTTTATGTTTTTTCTCATTAACAGTCTCTGATATTTGATGAAGTTGACCTCTCAGATGCCAGTGTCGCTGAAGCCAGCACAAAAAATGCAAACAACAGCTTCACGGTATGGTTACACTCTGATAAAGCCCCCCTCAAATATCGTGGAATGACCCTCACAGAGAATGGACAGAATGGCTTCTCTAGTGGTCGTGCATATCAGATCCTTGCCAATTCAATTAACTCTAATTAATACCTTGTGTTTTCTGATACCCAGTAGTATTCATGATAGTTTAGTGCAGTCAGCTTGGGCTAGTTTTATTTTTTTAATAAATAAATAAAGATGTATATATTCCTTTTTAATTTGTGGTTTAAAATTTTCTGTTCTCTTAAATGTAACATTTCAGTTTATCCATTGTTCTTGACTATTCCAAAGGTTCATGATTCACTTTCAGTCTTAAAAGTTGTAGTTGTTATGTGCTGTAGAGTCAGAACTGACTCATAGCTGATCTTCCAGCAGGTTTCAGAGGCTGTGAGTTACACAGGAGGAGATTGCCCACCTTTTTCCCTCAGAGTAGCTGGTGGGTTCAAACCACCTGCCTTTAGGTTGACAGTGCAACTCCTTACCTCTCAGCCACCAGACCTCTCTTAAAAGTAGTGTTTTTCTTTTCTTATTCTTAATGTGAGTTGCTAAAGTTCAGGCCTTCCTATATTTCTACTTAGAGATATGTAAGAAGTACCCTTTGTTTGAGTATTCCATTCCACTCACCAATCTTACTGCTCACAAGACCTCCCTTGTACTACTCCCTTTGCCTTCTGAGTTATATGTCTGCTTCAGATGTCATGAAAACACATGCCTCAGAAATCTGGTGCCACTCATAAATATTTGTCCTTTTACATTCACCAGTTCGGTATTGCTTGGTCTCTGCCTCTGCTCTTCCTGAGCCCTCCAACTTAAATGACTTCTCCCCATTTATAGCTGTTGAAATCCTGCTCATTCTTTAAAGCTTATCTCAGATAATCCCATTCTGCTTTTACTTTTTCCATTAAAATACATGAACTGTGTACCCACCATATGCCAGGCATTTGTGCCAAGCACAAGAGATACAGAGATGCAAATATGTATCACTTCCCTCAAGATCCTTCTTATATAGTTCAGCAAGGTTCATCTGGCAGCCTGTTATGACTATATCTCCTTAGAGACCCCAATGAACAATTGCCAGTGCTGTATTGTCACTCCTGTCTCTAATCCTGTTTCCTCTAGAAGCCTCCATGACTGTAGTGTATTAGTTTCACCTCTAGATATGTCTTGGAAGAGAAAACAGACAAATTATAGCAATTGAGTTTAATACTAGTGGGGCCAGGGAGGGAAGGAGGAAGCAAATGAGTTCAGGCTTAACCTTACTAACGTATAGGCATGTAGGAAAATTCATGCTGCAAATAGGCCCCTCCCAGGCCTATTTATTTAGTCCAACAAGATGAAAGCCAGTAGAATCTTGGAAACACATTAAAATTTAAGGTTTTCCCAGTGAAGACAGAGAATTTGAAATATGCCATACTTTTGCCCATGTAAATAACACACACGCATATGTGACAGGTAGAAATGGCTAAAATATGTAAACAAATTTTTTTCATAGAGCACCCATGCATATACCACACATATCTTGCATTCTTGTGTCATTTTAAGAGTAAATTTTGGGTTACTTCACCTAATAAAATAGTGTGAAAATGTTCCTTTTAATAATACATGTGCAGGCCATGGGGTATATTATTGTAAGGTCCCGTCAGGTCACCTACCCCGTGAGCAACATATTTGAACCTTGCCCTGTCCTACCCTGTCTTCAGTGATTTCTGAGACACTTGAGCCCATCATTACGGTCACCATGTCAATCCATCTTGTGAATTGAATTTGGTAGGACCTCAGTAATCAGAACATCAAACTCCGTGTTTGCTCTGTAGCAGGGCAGGACCGGAATCCTGCCGGGAGAGGGGCTGCAGTAAAAACCCCAGGGTTGGCTGTCGAGTGTCAGCTGCTAGCACTGACACCTCCATGGTAACAGGTACCAACAGAAGAAGTTTAACAGAAGAATCATCTCACAGGGGGAAAACAATTGAAAATGAAGTGAGCAACATGTAAAAACATTGTCAGAACATACTTTTGAAAATAATGTGGAGGAGGTTTTTCTGTGTGGAAAAAAATGCATGGTGCACGCATCATTTGTGTAAAAATGTGGTATAGATGGAGAAGTAGGTGGCAATGATTAAAAAACCCCCAAACAGTAGGAGAGACTTTCAAGAAGGAAGTTGTTAAATGTCAAATGCTACCAAGGTCAAATCAAAGAAGAATTGAAAAGCATGTGTTGAGTTTGCTAACATAGAGGTGATTTAATCATACCTATGCGAGCCTTTCCATGGGAGGGGTTGGTGGGGTGTATTATACTGTGTTGTGAATGCAAAGTGAGAAGCTGGGCAGGTAATTTTTTGACTGCTAAAAAAAGTCAGGCTAGAAGAAGGTTTTAGTTTTGTCGTGTTTTTAAAACAGATTTTGAGCATGCTTGTGTAAAGAGAGGAAAGAAATATTAGACTGTAAAAGTGAAGACTGAGGAAGAAGAGGGAGTAATTGAGAAAGATTCTTGAGTAAACCGAAGGGAATCAGAACACAAGTTAGAAATTTTAATGTTTAACAGGAGATAGACTGCAGAGAGGAGTGTGGATATGAAGTGTATATATTTCAAATTCACATGCAGACAAGGTTTACCTGTGATGAGTGAGAATTTAGGAGGGTTTGGAGTAGTTTCTATACGGTATGAGAATTAAAAATGAATGGAGAACTATAGACGAATCACTATGGGTTAATAATATCTACCAAAGCCTGGAGATCACATTTAATGATGTTCTTAATTCCTATATGAACAAAGTTTCTTTAAGATAGGAATAAAGAAGAAACAGGTAAGTTGATCAAGGATTAATGGATTATAGGATATCAACTTAAGTCAACTCATTGCTTTTGCATCAGAACTGACTCATAGCAGACCTTTCAGTGGGTTTTTAGGAGGCTTTGAATCGCACACAGTAGGAGTTTGCCTTTCTTTCTCCCGAGGAGCTGCTGGTGGATTTGAACCACAGAAGAGGCTGCCCATTTGGGTTTGCAGCACTACCTCTTACAGACTAACTGTGCCACTAGAGCTTCTTTATGAGGCATATTGCACAGGTAGATCATGTAATATTTTTGTTGTTTAGTCCAAAAATTCATCTATCTTCTCCCTTTGCACTCTCAAATGTTAAGAATGACCAAGACTAGAGACAGATATATCAATGGCTACTGAGCCCAACATGGAGGAAATAGAGTTGTTGTGCTAAATTTTTTGTAGGCCTAGTGATAAAGAGCTGGACTACAATCCTGAAGTCACATGGTTCAAATCCACCAGCTGCTCCATGGGAGAAAGATGGGCAGTCTCCTCCTGCGTGATTAAAACGGCCTCTGAAAACCCGCTGGAAGTTCAGCTAAGGGTCAGTTCAAAACAACACAAGAACCGGGTGGCGTCCAGGCTCCGGCTTCACCAACACCATGCGTGTAGTGCCTGTGCCATGATGGACCCTGGAGGATATCCTCCAGCCCCTGTCCCATCCTCTCCCCACAATCCATCCATTAGGCCAGCAACGCTTGTAGTGCTTACTTGGGATAGTGTGGCACTGGTGGGCTGGGACAACAGGGAAGAAAGACAAAGTTCTGTGGCACATGACTATTTGTTAAGACCCTAGTTTGGTGAGGTAACTCAGGCTGACTGCCTTCATCTTTCTCCACTCGGGCAAGGGAAGAATGAGGGGTGTAGGACTGGAGGCCCTGTGCTTATTTAATGCAAAAGGCCAGTGATTCCCTCTCCTTTGTGTTCAGTTCCTGTAGAAAATTCAGTCCTGGCCTGGGGTCAGGAAGTAGCAAGAGCCAGGGCCGAAGCCACGGGGCAGTGGTTAAAGTGTACACAGAGTGGCCTTGGCCCTTAATCGCTTCTGCAGCCCTTCAGCCTCCCCTCTTCTCACCTTGTTCGTGTACTGGGCGCTTCTCTTTCCTGCACTCCATTCAGCTGTCTCTACAGACAAACACTCCTCCCTCCACCTTCCATTTTCCCACTACAGCCACCTCCAGGCCTGTTGCTATAGAGCCTACCTGTATGTCAATAAACAACAGCTGAAAAACAAAACAAAAACAAAAAACAACACAAGGATAAAATGTTGTTTGTTCATCCAGGTGAAGATGGATAGAAAGAACCACCCCCAATTTTACCCATCAGCTTAGCCATTTGCCTTCCCCAGGGGAGTACCTCTGGAGATTCATGAAAAGGATACAGTTTTTCCCTAACAGGAAAATTTTATTCAGAGTTTAATCTGAAAGGGAGTTCCAACAACAGTTAGGATTTCCACAGCGGCACAGTTTTAGGTGAAGTCAGGGTGTTGGGATAAGGTAAAACTAAAAAACTCATTATTATCAAATTGAAACTGACTCAGAGCTGAACCTCCCTTGGGTTTCCAAGTCTGCAGATTACATGATAGGAAATTGCCAATCTTTGTCTCAAGGAACCGTCTGTGGAATTGAGCCGGCAGACTACACACCAGAGGTCCCTTAGATAAATGTAGTGGGAGATGAACAGTTAGACTTTTGGAGAAGCTATTCAAATCCTCTGTACAAATCTTTCTTAGCCCTACAACTGCATGTGACTGACTCTCCCGTTGTATTTTTCCTGTAGAATTTAACACATTCTGCCTATGTCTTATTAAAGTACTTATTTTCTTTACAGCCTCCTTGAGGATAAGGACTATCTTATTTAATTTAAAATGCCTGATTGATAAGTATTTGTATTTGTTGGTTTAATTAGTAAAATAAAGCTTTAAGTATGAGAAGAATTTTAATGGAATATGTTACAGAAATTTTTTCACCCAGCCCAACATTATTTTTGAGGTTTGTTGAAGAGCGATTAGACTAAAAAGGTAGGCAGAAATAGAAATAGTATAACCAGAATGGAAAGAATGAGAATTCGGGCACTTTGTAGAAATTGTAGCCAATTTCACTGAACAATGTGTATAGAAATCACTAAATGGGAACCTAATTTTCCATGTAAGCTTAACCAAAAA